AACGTTAAAAAAAAAAAATTAAAATAAATAAATAAATAAATAAAATAAAAAATAAAAAATAAAATGTGAATGTGTGGAGAAATACATGACAGGTGTTACCATTAGTTATTTCTAGGTTTTAAAATAGGACATTAGTGGGGCGCCTGGGTGGCGCAGTCGGTTAAGCGTCCGACTTCAGCCAGGTCACGATCTCGCAGTCCGTGAGTTCGAGCCCCGCGTCAGGCTCTGGGCTGATGGCTCGGAGCCTGGAGCCTGTTTCCGATTCTGTGTCTCCTTCTCTCTCTGCCCCTCCCCCGTTCATGCTCTGACTCTCTCTGTCCCAAAAATAAATAAAAACGTTGAAAAAAAATTAAAAAAAAATAAAATAGGACATTAGTATTGTTTCTGTATTTTTTTTAATTCTTTGAAAAGAAGGAAGTGTTGTAGCCAATAGAAGCAATTTCAGTGGTGTTTTGGTTTGATGTTCGGAGGGAGCTAATATTTGGGGGAAAGGATCCAAAATTTTTTAATAATACAAAACAATGTCACATGCATTTCTCCTCTGACTTACTGGCATTTCAGTTGGCTGTGGGTCAAAAGGAAAGTTAATGTATAGACAGAAGCTGAGTCTCTACCATAATCTGACCTTAATAAAGCAATCATGCTTGACTTGATAGGATAGATCTTAAGTCTGGAATTGGTGGGGAGAAGACTGTTTTGGAAGTGGGGTGTCCTAGGATGACTATCTCCAGAAGATGAAAATGGTAAAATAGTTCATGTCAGGTTTAGGCTAAGCACGAACTGGCCTTTCACAGATTTGTTTCTGAGAATTGTGTTTGCTTCAGTTTTTAGATTTCCTTTTATTAAAAGATTAACATATGCTTCAAGAAAACTTTAAAAAGTACAAAAGTGTTAAAAAGTGGGGGGAAAATAGACATACTTGGGTTTCTCCCACCCCTGGAATCCTTCAGTCTTTTTTAATATAAGAGAACAGATCTGGGAAATGGAGGAACTATGCCTCAAGAAAATATTTCATTCTTGGGGTGCCTGGGTGGCTTAGTCGGTTAAGTGTCCCACTCTTGATTTCAGCTGGGCATGGAGCCTGCTTGAGATTCTCCCTCTCCTTCTCCCTCCCCTTCTGCCCCTCCCTCCTCTCAAAAACAAAAACAAAAACAAAACAAAACCCTGGTCATTCTTTATAATGTGATACAATGATCACTGGATAGAAGTCAGGAAATTCACCTTCTGGTCCCAGTTAGTGTTAGTTGTGTGACTGGAACAAGTTACTTTGCCTCTCTGGACATAGGTTTCTACCAATTCCAAGGTGATAAGTTTGGACTTTGAAATTATAGGTTGATAAGGGTTGACTTGATAAAACTCCCTAATAATGAAGACATTTTTTAAAGGGTATATATGAGAGTGTGTGTGTGCATGTGCACATGTACATTGCATATGTGCATCTCTGGAAAGGCTTTCTCTCTAACCATAAAAAAGTAATGTATTAACTGTGGTGTTTATAATTGTGAAATAAACACTGCACTTAATTGACGTAGGATTTATTTCCAAAGAATTGGGTGTTTCATCTATTTTTGCTATTCTCGTATCATCCTGTTAGACATGTGAGTAGAGAGGATTTCATTCATGTTTAAGTGACAGTCATAGCTAGACTAAATTATTCATTGTTAGAGAATCAGTGGCACAGCTGAAAATAAATTCAGTTCCTAGCACACAATTCTCTTGGTCTTTCTCTTAGGTTTCTTTCTTAGAGAAATGAAGTTATTTTTGATATGGTTAAGAACATCATTTCTTGCTTGACAGAAGTAAAATTAGGGACTATCCATAGAACATTTCTACCTTATAATTTATTTGGTATTTTGTAGAATAGATTACTTTCCTAATTGTATTTGTCATGGTCACTTACTAAAAATATTTAGTGTTATCTGGTTTTATTATATACCTCTCTCTTGAGTCATGGTTGGGGGTGAGCATGGGAGACCTACACATAAGGAAGGCATTATCTTTTAATAGAAGTTAATCACATTGGCCTATCTCCCTGCTTGCTTGGTCAGTAACTGTGAACTCTGGAGATCTATCTAGTGATTATAAACCTGTTTTATATGGCATATGACTTTATATGGGAAGTCAGCTTTGATGATAGATTTCTACACTGGTGTAGAAGAGAAATGTTTAGTTAGCATTTCAGAAGAATTGAACCTATTAGCATCTATGTATTCTGCCTTTAGGCTTTCTTGAGCCCTCTCATTTGTGTAATCTTTTAATGTTATTGGTTTTCAACAAAAGAAATAGCACATCATGTCAAAATGAATTATTACAGCTGTATTCATTAAGGAAATCAATTCCTTTTATTTCATGGAATGATGAAATTATTATTTCAGGTGTTTGTGGGGGTAGCAAGATTAAGAGTTATTTACATAATACCAGATATTCAGAATATTTGGAAATAGTGTTAGCATTTGCTATGTACAGAAAAAACTTAGGGCTTCATGATTTGAATTTTTCATCTTGAGTTATTTAACAGACATTTGAGCTCCTACTATGCATTGGACCTTATACTCTGGGGGTGGATGGAGATGTAAAGACAGAATTATTTTCAAGCGTGGGTTTTGTCTGTGCTGAAATTTAGGAAAGCATTAAGCTTTATTAGATGTAGATTACATTTAATGTACTATATACCTCTGCAACCTTTCCCTTGCCCTATAATTATTTGTTACTTCACTAGATTCACACTCAATTTAGAAAGTGTGTTCTAAAAGAACTTGCTGTTAGAAGCTATGAAAAATCCTTTTGTAAAGTGAATTAATTTGCCTTTTATATATCCAGGTTTTCATCTGTGATTTCTTAATAAACAACTTGTGAGTATTTTAATTTTTTATTAGCAAGTAACATATCTATGGTTCACTTTAACTCCTTCCTCCCAACCTCTCTTTGTGTCCCTCTCATAATTGTAATTATACAGAACAGGAGTTTGGTTGTTCTTACTAAGTATATAAATGATCCCAGTTTTCAAGCTTTTAATTTTTTTAACCTTAAAAGACTGACTTAAGACACTATGACTTAAAAAATTGTAATAAATTGATAAACTATGTGTATCAGTTTAAATTTGACCCATGGGTCTTTTCAGTGTAATTTACATTTGACCTTTGTACAGTTGAAATATAAGGGCTATATATTCTAGTCAAATTGTCCTGTAGCTGTTTAGATTAATTTAGATTTGGTTTTTGGTAGTATAGTGGTTGGTAGCCAAAGTGATTGTGAAAATAAAGTTGTAAAATATGTATAAACAGGAGTAGCTATGATTTTTAGCATGCACATCCAATGTAATCTCTTATTTAAGCAGACTTATATTAGCATTTATTATCAACTCAGAACAAAGTACAAAACATGGGGCACCTGACTGGCTCAGTTAGTAGAGCATGCAACTCTTGATCTCGGGGTTGTGAGTTCAAGCCCCACATTGGGTGTAGACATTACTTAAAAAATAAAATCTTAAAAAAAAAGCAAAATACAAAGCAATACATAATGAAAAATTAGAAGAAAGTTGGAGGAAAAAAACCTTGAAGCTGAAAAGTAGTCATTTAAAAAATTGAACCCCTAAAACATGCTTATATAAACATTGTTATATAGAAAGTTCTTACATAAGAGGCTGGTGTTGCATGTATTATGACTGTTTTCTAAGTAATTTATATCATATATATCAGAAATATGTGTAGCAGCCAGTGTCTAGTTTCTAGTCTGACAGTAGGCCAAAGAACTTTGGAGGTAGGATCCAGAGAGAAAAAATAATTCTCTGTTATTTCAACCCCTCTAAACAGGACACCATACTTGCAGAACTTCTTCAAATACATAAAGAACACATCGTAGGATATCATGAGCACGATTCTCTTTTGGACCACAAAGAAGAAGAAGAGTTGACTGAAGAAGAAAGAAAAGCAGCTTGGGCTGAGTATGAAGCAGAGAAGAAGGTAGTTCATTCAAAATGCTTTTTGGTTTTTGTATTTGTGTTAGTCATTTGAAAGAGAAATGAGTAAGAAAAGGGTCACGTTTGGAATAAGTAATAATAATAGTGAGTCTTCAGGAACAATATGAGAGTCAGTGTATGGGCTTTTGGCTACCTTTTGGGGTAGGGTGAGAGGAAAGGAAAGAAGAAAATAGTTTCCACTTAAAGTGTAGTAACCCCATTTCTGCTTAGCACTTGTGCTGAATTGAGAGATTAGTGGGAAGCTATATATTTAACATCACTTAACTCCCATCAACACCCTCACTCTAGTAACAGATATACAGGAGCTTAGAGTTTGGAGGTAGGAGTAAATGTTGCTTTAGCATGTGTACCTGAAATCTAAATTTTGACTGTCAGAACACAAAAACATACCATTATTAGAAATTAATGTCACTCTCCAACAGCAACTTTATTTAAAATAGTTCCTTCCATGTTTATTTTAAACACCAATCCACTTGAGCAAAAATGTGCCTGAGCATGGGAAACCTTATCCTAATACCTGAATTCTTTAAACTCCTAACTCGTTGTACCAAACTTCTTTAACGTTAATGTTATGTTAGGAGTCTCATTAGAATTCTCTGAGTTGCCCCATTCTGTGGGAATTATCAGAAAAAAAGAATATACCTTTAGGGGTTAAAACTTTCTGTGTAATAGGATCTTGGTTTCAGGTGAAAAGGGTGTTTTGTTTGTGTGTGGAAGAGTGTTAATAATTTCTTAGATCTGAGAATGTGGATTCTTTTCTAAACCAGTAGGTGATGTAGAATTTCAAGTTTTAAATCACAATGTGGAAAGTGCATAATTTTTTGTTTTTAGGGACTGACCATGCGTTTCAACATACCAACTGGGACCAATTTACCCCCTGTCAGTTTCAACTCTCAAACTCCTTATATTCCTTTCAATTTGGGAGCCCTGTCAGCAATGAGTAATCAACAGCTGGAGGTAAGTTGTGAAGTATAGAAGTAGTTTAACTTGAATTAAAGGCAATTTCAAGTGCCTGTTGTTGAGGGTTCCCTGTGCAGGAATATCACATTCTCCAAAAGATTACCTCTGAATAGACCAAGAAATTTTTCTTTTATTTGTTGACCCTTTTGAACCAACATAGTATGGTAGAATGTGGTTTGTTCAGAGCACAAGAGAATTAGGCCTTGAATTAATGTTCTTTGAATTGTTTTAATTAAGGAACAATAGGCAGCTGACTACCTGGGGAAATAGAACTTTCTTCAGTTATAAAATATTTTGAATAAACAAATTAACTTAATGTTTGAAAATAGAATACATTAATTTACATTGTGATGCAATGTAGATGCAGCATTAAGTATATGATAATGTTCAGTATGAAATAATTACTTAAGAGTCAATTATGAATTAAATAAGAAAGATTAGGTTTTATTATACCAATAATGTAATAACTTAATTGAAACTGTTGTTTCCTTTTTAAAATGTATTTAAATTTATAAATTACTGGTGCAAACCCAAACTTTTATCTTCCTAACAAGACCCTCACTGATGCGTTTTACCCACTTTATTGATGCTGCAGTTTTCTGCTTTTCAATTATTTGAAGAGTTTTAAAACCAAATGCTATATAAAAGGGGTGCCTGGGTGGCTCAGTCATTTAAGCGCCTGACTCTTGATTTGGGCTCAGGTCATGATCTCATGGTTCAGGAGATTGAGCCCCAAGTTGGGCTCTGTGCTGACAGTGCAGAGTCTGCTTGGGATTCTCTCCCTCTTTCTCTGCCCCCCCCCCAAAACAAATAAATAAATAAACATTTACAAAGAAAACAAGTGCTATCAATTGGCAAGAGGAAGGATCCTTATACTTTACAACCAGGCCATCTTTTATATGCCCTATATAAGATTTCTTCTATTCTTCTAGGACCTCATTAATCAAGGAAGAGAAAAGGTTGTGGAAGCAACGAACAGTGTGACGGCAGTGAGGATTCAGCCTCTTGAAGATATAATTTCAGCTGTAGTAAGTTAATTGGCAGTTGTCTTACTCCAACTTGCAATTATTGTCCCTCCCCTAATTTGTTTTAATTTTTAATTGTTGTTTGCTTCACTCCTTCTGTGGGGAAAACCGCATAATTCTTATATCTTTATTGGCAATAGTAAAATGCTCGTAAACTGGATAATAGTGTCAAGCTATAATTCAGCAATTTTACCTAAAAGCTGGCACAAATGAGAAATGGGTAATATCTAAGAAATGGGAAATCAGTCAGTCATAGAAATGTATGTGTTGTTTACATAAACAAGTTTTATCTGTTGCACCAATTAAATCCAAGTTGTTTCACTCCAGAGATAGCCAAACCTTGTACAACGGTGGATAACTTAGTGCCTTGCTTTTTACATCCTTGTTTTCTTTAGAAAAGAATAAAGGAGAGAGAAAAAAAAACTTCTAAAATCCTGAATATTTTTAAGTACCTTAATTATTTTTCCTCAGTGTACTGCAATAAGGAGTAAATAGAACCTTTTTCTTTTAGTGGAAAGAAAACATGAATCTCTCAGAGGCCCAAGTACAGGCGTTAGCATTAAGTAGACAAGCCAGTCAGGAGCTTGATGTTAAACGAAGAGAAGCAATCTACAATGATGTATTGACAAAACAACAAATGGTAAGAGTTTGACTATTTCTAAGTTATGTCCAATTTTCTTGAATTCATAATAATGGGTTTGTGTGACATCTATGTCAATAACCGTCCCTTCCTCATATGGCTGGCTGGCTGGTCATTGGTTGTTCCTGGAAGAAGTATTGTCAGAAAACCTAATAATGTCAAGTAAAGGTGTAATATCTTGGTTACCAGATTATAGAAGAGCAACAACTTCCCAAGTGGGTCTCCTTGAAGATTATGTAGGATCTCTTTCACATAATTTTATATTTTATGTAGTCTGGACATTTAAAAAGGAATTTTTGCCAGGGGCGCCTGGGTGGCTGTCAGTTGGGTGTCCGACTTCAGCTCAGGTCATTATATCATGGTGCGTGAATTCAAGCCCCGCGTCGGGCTCTGTGCTGACAGCTCAGAGCCTGGAGCCTGCTTCGGATTCTGTGTCTCCCTCTCTCTCTCTGACCCTCCCTCGTTCATGCTCTGTCTCTGTCTCAAAAATAAATAAACATTAAAAAAAAATTTTTTTTAAAAGGAATTTTTGCCAAACTTTTACCATATTTACCATATTTACCATTTTTAAACACCTTCCCAAAATAAGTATACTTTTTAATATATTTGAGAGTAAAAAAAAACAGTGGAGCTATAGATGATATATGTCACCAGTTCCTATTAAATTATTTAATTCTTTAAAAGGCTAGCATATTCCAGGACCTTTGATCGTTTTTTTCCCAGCATAGTTGTTTGCCAGCCATCTGCCTTTCAGTGGGAAATTTCAACTCTTGACTCCAGGGAATCAATTTCTGTGGCATGAATTTTACTTAGAAAGCACTGTAGAATTATTGATTTCAGATTATCTTAGGAAATTTGAGATAGTCCAGGTAGGAATTATTCCCACTGCAAGTACTTTTCCCCTTTGGTGTTTGTCACTAAAAATGTTTGTCTGTCATTATGTGAAATATTCAGAAGAATGAACAAGAAATGAGACTTGACAAAAAGTGCTGTAACTAATACTTGAAACTAATCATAGCGCAGGACAGTTACTATGGCAACTAACCTAAATGCTGCTTGCAATACAGTAGTCAAGTCATTAAGAAAATTTAGCCCTAAATGGTGTTACTAACTGGTTTCTACAGTAATGGTCTTGTGAATGCCTCAAATTAGTAATGGTGATAACAATAATGTGTTTTCCTTTTGATATGGTACACCCTTAACAAATTGATTTTAACTTAAAACTTGATATTTGCCTCTTTGTGACAGGTCATGCACTTGTAACATGCACTCCCTTTTCTCTCTTTAGTTAATCAGCTGTGTTCAGCGAATACTTATGAACCGAAGGCTCCAGCAGCAGTACAATCAGCAGCAACAACAACAAATGACTTATCAACAAGCAACACTGGGTCACCTCATGATGCCAAAGCCTCCAAATTTAATCATGAATCCTTCTAACTACCAGCAAATTGATATGAGAGGAATGTATCAGTCAGTAGCTGGTGGTATGCAGCCACCACCATTGCAACGTGCACCACCCCCAATGAGAAGCAAAAATCCAGGACCTTCCCAAGGGAAATCAATGTGATTTTGCACTAAGCTTAAATGGATTGTTAAAATCATAGAAAGATCTTTTATTTTTTTAGGAATCAATGACTTAACAGAACTCAACTGTATAAATAGTTTGGTCCCCTTAAATGCCAATCTTCCATATTAGTTTTAATTTTTTTTAATAGGGCATACCATTTTTTCCTGACATTTGTCAGTGATGTTGCCTAGAATCTTCTTACACACATTGAGTACAGAAGATATTTCAAATTGTTTTCAGTGAAAACAAGTCCTTCCATAACAGTAACAACTCCACAGATTTCCTCTCTAAATTTTTATGCCTGCTTTTAGCGACCATAAAATTGTCATAAAATTAATGAATTTAGCAAAGAATACAGATTTATATATTCGTTCTTTACATATAAAAATACACAGCTGAGTTCTTAGAGTTGATTCCTCAAGTTATAAAATACTTTTGTACTTAATCCATTTCTTTATTAAAGTGATTGAAATGGTTTTAATGTTCTTTTGACTGAAGTCTGCAACTCGGCTCCTGCTGTTATCATCTCCGTGACTGAAAGTTAGAAACTAAGGGTTATCTTTGACACAGAATTGTGTGCAATATTCTCAAATACTACTGCTCGAAAACTTGGAGGAGTCTTGCAGTTATCTTAGCATTGTATAAACAGCCTTAAGTATAGCCTAAGAAGAGAATTCCTTTTTCTTCTTTAGTCTTTCGGCCATTTTTTATTTTCACTTATATGTGCTTAAATAATTACTGGTAAAATTTCAGGGTTGTGGATTATCTCCCACACATGAATTTTCTCGCTCCTGGCACTAATATAAAGCACACCTCCTAACTGCTTGGTGCCAGTGCTAGTGCTTCATCCTGTTGCTGGCAGTGGGATGTGGACTAACAAAATCAAGTTCTAGCATTTTAGGAGGTTAAGGATGATGGTGTGGTTGTAGGGTCACACCCTGTTCTATAAATATCAAAATGGCAGAACCATTGCTGACTTCTTAAGTTCACATGAGGAATGTGCTTTAATAATTCCCAGTACTGTCAGTATTGTGAAATAATTCCTCCGAAAGATAAGGATCACTGGCTTCTATGCTCTTCCTCTTTTCTGTCACCCTATGTTCTTTTCCCTCAACTTTCCTATGTTATTTTAAATAACTTACATTTCAAAGTTTGATTTTTTTTTAGTTTAGATCCATGAGGCAGTTTTAGGATCAAAATTCATCTACTACCCTTTTATGAACTTTTACTAGAAAACCATTACAATGTTGTTTTTCTTAATCCAAGCCTATAAAATGACCTATGAGTTTATTCATGTACAATTTGGTTGCTTGAGTTCCTTGAAGAAAAAGATTGTTAGACTATGGGAGTCAACTCAACATGGCAAAACTATTTTTGAGATGGTGATGTAACAGGTAGTGGAAATAGCTAAAAAATTACATAAAAAATGAAAGTTGGGTGGTGGAATTGCTCTAGGTATCACTGGATTAGAATGAGTTTAACATTAGCTAGAACTGTTTTGAGTTATTTAGATGATTAAGAGATTTCCATTTTTATCATGAAAGAACTAGTGGTAAACATCCAAGAGCACTAAGGTTTGTGATACAGAATTTGTGAGGTTAGGTGGATTCACTCCATCCCCCCTCCCACTTTACCATGGTGAGTATCACTAACAAATTCCATATATTTGGATATTATGCCAGCCATATAATCAAATTTATTTAATTGGGATGGGGGAGATATGTTTTTACTTTAGAAGAATGAAAAGGACAAGATTTATGAGAAGTATTTAAAGGCAGTACACAATGGCCAGCTGTTGTCAGTTGGTATTTCTGCAAGTCCAGAATACTTTAAACCTGATTTACTAGACCTGAGAACTTTCAACATGGTCTGATTACTTGCTCAAAGACATGGATGTAAAAATTTTAGGCAACCTTCTAAACCTTTTTCACCATGGATGAAACTATGACTTGAGTAATACATAGAAAGGATTAATTGGAACTAAGAGAGTTTGAAATAAAACTTGGACCACTTTGCATACACTCTTCTCACTTGACATTTTAGCTACATAATATGTACTTTGAGTATAACATCAAGCTTTAACAAATATTTAAAGACAAAATCACATCAATTAAGATACTAAAAGGCTCATTTTTCTATTTGTTTTAGATGTTTTAAATAGTTGCAATGGCTTAAAAAATGACGATTTAAAATGTTGCTTGTAATAACAGTTTTGCCTGCTAAATTCTCCACATTTTGTAACCTGTTTTATTTCTTTGGGTGTAAAGCGTTTTTGCTTAGTATTGTGATATTGTATATGTTTTGTCCCAGTTGTATAGTAATGTTTCAGTCCATCATCCAGCTTTGGCTGCTGAAATCATACAGCTGTGAAGACTTGCCTTTGTTTCTGTTTAGACTGCTTTTCAGTTTCGTATTGAGTATCTTAAGTACTGTAGAAAAGATGTCACTTCTTCCTTTAAGGCTGTTTTGTAATATATATAAGGACTGGAATTGTGTTTTTAAAGAAAAGCATTCAAGTATGACAATAATACTATCTGTGTTTTCACCATTCAAAGTGCTGTTTAGTAGTTGAAACTTAAACTATTTAATGTCATTTAATAAAGTGACCAAAATGTGTTGTGCTCTTTATTGCATTTTCACAGCTTTGAAAATCTGTGCACATATTGTTTCATAGAAAATGTATAGCTTTTGATGTCCTATTTAATGGTGATTCTTTTGCACATTTAGTTATTTAATATTGGGAGGTCAAAAAGTTTGGTCTTTGAATCTGTTATGTACTAAATTCTGTAAAAGGAGATCTCTAACCTCAAAAAGAATTTACATACCAGGAAGCCTATGTGTGTTTGTGTTAGTTTTGGTTGTCTCTTTGTAATCCAGCACCATTTCCTGCTTCCTAACAGCTGAAATCACTCATTTAAATCAAGCAAGGCTACCAATCCACACTTGATAGAAAAGCTGCTTACCCTCCTGAAGCCATAGCAGGTTGATGGAAGCCTTATTACCTGGCCTCCAAAGAAGCTGAATATTTTGTAGTTTTCCCTTAGCTATGCCCATTTTCCCTCTATCACAAAATCAGATACTTAACGTTTATGCCCCAAACAAAACTTTAATTACTTACCTTATCTCAGTAACCTTTGTTTCTTTTAAGGGTGGCATGTTGTGAAGCTATAGATACTTACTCTAACAGTAAATTAGGTCATTCTTTTACATGCTTATTTCACTAAAAATTATGTTCAGGTTATTACCCACCTGATTTCACCAGACTTAGTCTCAAGTGACTTTTAGCTATCTCCGTACCAAATCTGCCCTTAGAGATGAAAATTTTTCCACCATGGCTTTTTTTTCAAGTCTGTAATCTGTGCCAATCCCAAAAGAGTTACCAAAATTCAGAAATGATTTTTGTCTGTGCAACATTTTATATATGCTGTTATATGGAGGTGAATAAAAATTTAAAATCCAAAATATATATTGTTTCTAAGCTTAATATCTGCTAGGTAACCAAACTCTGCCCATATTACTCATGTTGGATATAATAATGGAATTGCCCACCTAAGAGTTTTACTCCCCAGAGTATGTACTGCCATAAAATTGCTTTACAGTATATACTGCCATCCTCTGTTTGGAATATCCTTCCTGTCATCATTGTGCCTACTTGGCTAACTATGGCAGTCACCCTTCCTCTCCTCACTTGAGAGATCTGATAGTGACTACTACATAATGTTCACCAAGGAAGGCAGCATATAAATTGAGGCCTTTATTAAAGATAATGGAGAGAAAGCTGTAATTGGACGAATAAAAGAGACAAGTCCTAAAACACTGCAGGCCCTCTTTAACACTCAGAACTACTACATATTCCAAGCAATCTCTACCCTGTAGCACTCCTCCAAATTCTGCGCCTCATCATTCTGTCCTCACCTTGTCTCTGGTAGAAACATGTAAGGAAGAGGGGAGTTAGCTCCAATCTCCTTTAGTTAATCATATCAGATGACTACCAAGAGACTTCTACCTATTGAATCGACTCAACCTTCTCCCTATAGTTCTCACATCAAGTAAGTGTTGGTTTTCAAGAAAGATGAAGAGAGATGACTTACCAGATGCAAGGATGGGATTTGTTTCAGGTATATGAGGAGAAAGTGTAGTATTGAAAGAAAAGGAATAAAGGTAGAGAAGGATTGGGAAAGAATATATTGGAGTGGATTGATGGAAGATGTTGAATTGCTGAATAAATCATTCAATAACGGATGACTACGGGTTTGTGAGGTGGTTAATGTGTTCAAAGTTGCAGGTAAAGGTGATTTGGCAGAGGTAATTTGAATGATTAAGAATGCAAAATGAAGAAAGATTGGAGACAGGAAGATAATCCAGGCATTCAGTGACCAGACTATAGACCATTTTTAAGGGCGAAAGGAAAAGATCACTAGAGGTTGTATAAGTGAACTTCTTAAATTGCAAGAAAAAGCCGTCATTTCCTTTTACTCTTCCCCCAAGAAGCCCACTTTCTTCAGGATTTCTGATTTTACGTGCAAAATGTCACTTGCTTTGATTACCCTCTCAAGCCTAATGGTAAGACCGTTAGTGGCATGCCTGTTCTTTTTTTCATTTTTCATTACTCCTAATTA